GTGGCCAGGTATAGGTTCCTGCACCAACACCGGGCCACCGTGGTGGCTAAAGCTCTCGCTTCACACACGGAGGGCCCGGGTTCGATTCCCGGCGGGTGGAAACATTCGACACGTTTCCTTACACCTGTTGTCCTGTTCACCTAGCAGCAAATAGGTACCTGGGTGTTAGTCGACTGGTGTGGGTCGCATCCTGGGGGACAAGATTAAGGACCCCAATGGAAATAAGTTAGACAGTCCTCGATGACGCACTGACTTTCTTGGGTTATCCTGGGTGGCTAACCCTCCGGGGTTAAAAATCCGAACGAAATCAAATCAAACACCTTGTCTCCTGGATGGAAGGAGCGGAATTGTGCACTTCTGTCATACCTCTGTTTCATCTTACTTTGAGCTGTCTTTAGGTTAGCCTTGGCTAACTGACGTGCCACCTGCAACCTTGAAGACGGATTGTAGAGTGTTGAGCTAACGTCTTCTCCCATCCATCCTTCTTTGAGCACCCGAAGAGGACCTCGTACATTGTGCCCAAAGATCAGCTCAAAAGGACTATACCCTGTAGACTCTTGCACAGTCTCGTACTGAGAACAGCAACAAAGGTAGTGATTCATCCCAGTCTGTAGGAAAGTGCAAGCAAAAACTTCTCATCATTGTTTTTAATGTCTAATGGAATCTTTCCAAGGCGCCTTGGGACTGAGGATGATAGGCAGTGAATAAGTTGTGGATTATCCCTAACCTAGTTAAAACTTCCCTAAATGCTTTGGCAGTAAAGTTAGTACCTTGATCACTTTGAATAGTTTTAGGAATGCCAAAACAAGAAATGAATTTTGTTAAAGCTTTGAGAATAGCTTTAGTATTAATACTACGCATGGGAATTGCTTCAGGATATCTGGTTACTTTATCCATAATCGTAAATAAATACTGATTTCCAGACTTTGACCTAGGTAGTGGACCTACACAATCTATAATTAAATCTGCAAAAGGTTCTCCATCAGCAGGTATAGGTTGGAGAGGTGCAGGTTTAATGGAATGTCCAGGTTTCCCAACTTGCTGACATTCTCGGCAACACCTAATATGATTCTTCACATCTTTCTTTAATTTTGGCCAATAAAAATCTTTTGCGATTCTATACAAGGTTTCTGTAATTCCTAAGTGACCTCCTAATGACGTATTATGAGCTATATTTAATATTTGAGGTCTATACTTTGTTGGAACCACTAACCTGTCATACAATTGCCGGCCCTCTATCTCCTTACCAGTCTCAGTGCAGATCAGATAATCGTTTTTAACTTCATACTTGACCGGATGACCCATCAGCAGGTATAGGTTGGAGAGGTGCAGGTTTAGTGGAATGTCCAGGTTTCCCAACTTGCTGACATTCTCGGCAACACCTAATATGATTCTTCACGTCTTTCTTTAATTTTGGCCAATAAAATTCTTTTGCGATTCTATACAAGGTTTTTGTAATTCCTAAGTGACCTCCTAATGACGTATTATGAGCTATATTTAATATTTGAGGTCTATACTTCGTTGGAACCACTAACCTGTCATACAATTGCCGGCCCTCTATCTCCTTACCAGTCTCAGTGCAGATCAAATAATCGTTTTTAACTTCATACTTTACCGGATGACCCAAAGAGGATTTACCCATGGCTGCCCCCAAAAGCGAATTTTAAAGAAGGGTCCTTTCGTTGTTCCTCCCGGAAGGACAGTCCCTCGGGCATGGAAACAGAGACATCTGGCAATCCTGCAACCTGGGAATAGGAAGGCTTGATCGGGGTCTGTTCACTTGATTTACGAGGCTCCGGCCGGCGTGCCTCATAAAACAACGTGGCTATTCCGAGATCGGAGTCGTCCAAGGATAGGTCAACATTCTCTCCAGACAACCCTTGGGATGTTGCCCGAGTTATGGCCAACACCGGAGAAGAATTAATCATTATAGGTTCAGGACACGAACTAACAGTAGTAATGTTATTACCCAGTAATAACGTTGCATCTTTCATGGGGAATCCTTTTGAGACACCTACAGTCAAGTACCCAGTGTAATATTTGCACTGTACATAAATTTTATGCAAAGGAACAGAATATATAGCTCCTCCAAATGCTTCCAATAAAACAGAGGAATTCAAAGAAGTATTCTCTGAAAGGGGTAATATTCCCTCTCTTTACAAGTGGCAATATGCTCCAGTATCTCTAAAGGTCTTTACTTTAGTTGTTTCTGAGTTTTCCTGAAGGGAAATAAGACTCTTGCAATAATAAGGGGCCATACCTTTTTCTACTTCTTTAGGGGACATGTTACTAGGGATATTAGAGATTTTCCCAATGGGTTGGGGTTTATGGGGGCAGTTGGGACTGATGTGACCTACTTTATTGCACCTGAAGCAGACGACAGGCTTGCCCTTTACTCCCTGTTGACGTTGCAAATGGTGTCGTTCTGGCTGGTGTCTCTCTGTATACTGTTGTCGAGATGCACCATGAGTAGTTTGCCTCTCCGCAGGTGGACCATATGTTGAGAAGCGTGGCTCACCAGGTGACTTGGTTGGCTGACGTAGACGTTCTCCCTCCGGCTGGCACTTCATTCTCCAAGGTTGACAATCTCTGCTCATGCCAGGCTGTTGAAAAGAGAGACGGGACTGCTCGGACAAGGAGCAGTTAGTTTCGAAGGTATCAGCCAACTTGGCTGCCTCCAATGCAGTGGTTAAGTCACGATCCTGCAGAAAGACTCGAACCTCTGGTCCCACAGACTCCAGCAGGTTATCAATCAGAATAAGCTGCACCAGCTCCTCAAAGGTAGAGACACCACTTGCTTTATACCAGCTGGTAAAAGCTTTGGTTTGCTGTCTCACAAAGTCGACTAGAGATTGACCAAGCTGTCGTCTGCCCAATTTAAAACTCTTGCGGTATTTGGCTGGGATACACGTATATGCTCCCAACACTGTGGTCTTCACTACTTGATAATCAGAAAATTCAACGTCATTTAATACTGACGTGAATTCTTGTGCCTTACCCAATAATGCTGTATGAACCAACGATGCCCAATGCTGTTCCGGCCACCTCAAGGCTCGAGCCTGATTTTCGAAGCTTTCGAAAAATTGCTCTGGTTCGGCCTCATTGAAGCGGGGAACAAACTGTACTGCTTTCTGTAAACTAAAATTATTTACAGAATGCGAAAACTGCCTCCTTTCTCTTTCCCTATCAAATTCTTCCCTTGCGAATGCTCTCTGTTCCCTAGCTTGCTCAAGATTGATTTTTGCCAGCTCAAGTGCCAATGACGCTGATTCACCTTGAGACAACCCAGCTGCACTATACTGACCATTTTGCTCCGTAGGAGTATCATCTTCCTCCTGCGAGAACATAGGAGTTTTTGCCCTTGCTCCCATAGAGGTAGGAGTCTGATGTGCCATCTCTTCTTCTATAAGTTTGTTAGCAATCAGTGAACGCAGTTGTGCAGCTGTGAGAGTGCGTTTGTATGTAATGCCAATGGAACGAGCAATTTGCCAACAACGCTGTAGGGACAATTTAGGTAGGTTATGCAAAGTATATGCCGACACCAGACATCTGACTCGTCTAGGTGGCATAAGTTATTCGCTATGCACAGTACGATTGCAGAATACCCCAACGTAACACGTTAATTTGCAGAACACGCTTAGCTATGCACAGTACGATTGCAGAATACGCATACAAGCAAAGCTGACTGCAAAATTCTCCACACCGAACAGGCTAGTAACAACTGACACGCAAAATTTGTAAAGCAATGCCAGACAGCAAGCTGCACAATGTTCCTGCTACGAGCTTCACCCTAAGCTCAACCGTTTCTCTAAGTCCAGCTCAACTCCCGGACAGGCCCCCATATTACAACCCAGGATTCCAAATGGCCTGTTACCCCGGGTGTAATGGGAGCAAATAAACACAGTAGAAAAAGTTTAGACTTGTATTATCCTTCACCAATTTAGAACAGCAATATGTACACTATGTACAGTGATAAGTATAGTGCACTCCACGGTAAGCAAAGCAGAAATAGAAGCCACAAGATAGCAGACCGTGCTTCAACCAGCTCTAGAATGGGAATGACAAGGGCAGACAGGAGAGCGGTACCCACATAACCTCTGCGATTGCCAAAACCATCTTGTGGCTTAGCGCTTCTGTTTTATTATAATAATAATAATAATTTACTCCTCTCCAGCGCTATTCGTCTGTCCCATCTTCTCCGTTCATCCCATTGGGATCTTACCTGAACTTATTCGTTCGTTCGTTCATTGGTTCAGAAAGCGTTTGTTGATAAGATTTTGTTAGGATTTTTAACCACGGAGTTAGGCACCCATGATAACCCATGATACCTCTGTATGCATGCTCAAATTACTAAATAAATAAATAAATAAAGTCAGTGTGTCATCGAGGACTGTCTGTCTTATTTACATTGGGGGTCCTTAAATCTTGTCCTCCAGAATGCGACCCACACCAGTTGACTAACACCCAGGCACCTACTTGCTTGCTAGGTAAACGAGACAGCAGATGTAAGGAAACACGCCTAATGTTTCCACCTTTGCTGGGGATCCAGCCACAGATACTCAGTGCGTAAGGCGAGTCTTGCCTACCAGCCTGTTGATTTTATTCAGGTTCACCACGGCTCGTCAATAAGATGGTGTTGTGAGCAGGTACAATTCACTGGGTTGCTGAGTTCATGAAAGCCTCAGTGAGGTGGCATTGCGGCAGATGCAGCTTACTGGGTTGCTGGGTTCATGAAGGACCCCAATGGAAACAAGCCATTCTATCCCCAAGAAATTTAGGATTTTAACTAAGAAGATGCAGCGCTGTATAGCCCTTGTGGCTTAGCGCTTCTTTTTGATTATAATAATAATAACTAAGAAGATTTCTTTAAGATTAATAAGTCACTCTGACTTTTTTGGGTTAACCTAAGTTCTCAACACATATGCTGCTATGTATGATAATCTATGTAACTATTTGTATATACCTGAATAAATTTAGTAAGCCTCAGTGAGATGGTATTGCGAGCAGACGCAGTTGACTGGGCTGCTGGGTTCATGCGGGCTCAGTACCGCACCAACACTCTTCTTTAACAACAACAACAACTGCCACTGAAGGAAATATTAGAGATGATGTCGAGGTCGCTGAGAGCGGAGACTCGCTCAAGGGGCAAGGAGGAGACCAAGCGGTCTATGCAAGCACTGGACAAGGTCCGGAGATGGTAAGATACTGGTGATGTACCAAAAATGATCATTGTGAGCCCTTCACCCCTCAAGGAAGGTTCCTTGATGTTGGTGAGGGGCTCTTGATTTATGGAATTGGATCTGTGCTCCAGTTCCCCGAATTAAGCCTGAATGCCTTCCACATCCCCCCCCCAGGCGCTGTATAATCCTCCGGGTTTAGCGCTTCCCCCTTGATTATAATAATAATGTGAGCCCTTCACAGAGGATGCTTGATGCCGGTAAAGTGCTCTCGAGCCAAGGATTTTGGGCTAACCTCCCTTCCCCTCAAAGGAAGCTCCTAATGCTCCTCAGGGACCCCTTAATCCAAGGAATTTGGCCAGATTTTGCTTTCCATGGATCGAACCTTAATGCTTCATATTCCCTCAGGTGCTGTATGACCTAAATTTGCGTAACTGTACGTATGTATATCTGTAATAATAATATCTTTTATTTACTACAAGTACATGTACAAGGTATACAGTCCTAGCTGACATCAGTGACATACTACTATATAGAAAGCCCTTGTTATATAGAACATTTCGGGCAAATTAGGTCAGTGTCCCAGGATGCTACCCACACCAGTCGACTAACACCCAGGTACCCATTTTATTGATGGGGAACATAGATAACAAGTGGAAAGAAACACGCCCAATGTTTCCACTCTGGCTGGGTATCGAACCGAGGCCCCTTGCTGTGTGAAGCAAGATCAGCCGGGCTGTGGCTCGTACGTTGGTTTGCGTGCAGCCAGCAGCAACAGCCTGGTTGATCAGGCGCTGATCCACCAGGAGGCCTGGTCACAGACCGGGCCGCGGGGGCGTTGACCCCCGGAACTCTCTCCAGGTAAACTCCAGGTAAACCAGGCCACCTACTTAAATACTTAACCCTGTTGGTTTAATGTTCCCCATAAATGTAATAATAATGTAACTTCCTTTCCTTTGATCAAACCTAATTACCTCCCATCCCTGGGTATGGAAGGTAATCAAATTTATCGCTTTTCCACGAATATAATAATGTTCAATGCGAATATGGCTCATGGCTCAAGGGGTAGCACCTTCAGCTCTCATCTGAAGAACCTGAGAACCATTGGGCATATTTTCTTACACCTTTTGCCTCTGTTCACCTTGCAGTTAGTAGGTAGTTGAGTGTTGACTAACTACTGTGGAAGAGAATTGAAGAACCTCAATAATAGTATATAACTCAGAATGGGTTCATTGTGTTATCCTAGGTTATTAATTGCAATGAAATCTTAAGTTAAAATCGTGAATTTCTTAGTTTTATTTGGAATAGTTTAATGGTCAAAATATTCAGTGCATTGTCAATCTAGTGCCATCCCCTTAAATAATATAGCATGGAAGAATTGGCATTAGTAACAATACTGGTACAGTAAACTATTGATTTAATGAACTAATTTAATGAATTGATTTAATGAACCAATTGTGCATTAAATTTGAATGAGGAAATTGTTTTCATGATATTAATAATACCTAGACAATTTTGAATTTAACAGACTTTATTAATTCTAGAATTGTCCATAATGATTCTGATTTAACAGACGAAGTTTGTTAAATCAGAAGTCAGTTTAACAAGTGGACTGAAACAGGAAAAGAGCAGTTCTGAATTTAATTAATATTGTCCATTGTTTTGCAATGTTCAGCCAAAGATTTTGTCCATTAAATTCAAAATCCATCAAACTGAGGTTTAACTGTACTGTACTTCTCATATAGTAATGTTTATTATCTAAGCCAGTTGGTCCCATTCTGATGCAAACCATTTCATACTTAGGAAAGATGAAATAAAATTTACACAATTTATCTTGTTTAAAGAAAGTTGTTTGTGGGAAAGAGGCTGTAAAACTGACAAGCTGATGAAAAGATGCTACTAGAATCACTTAAATCTTCCACACTTTATGGTACCTGAGAACACTGCTAAGTTACTCGAGAAAGCCAGTTACGTCACCACCACTGTTATCTACCACTATCGAAGACATTGCTAGATCTATTTTAAGAAGGGAATAATGACATTCCCAGGGGAAAATGCAGGTATCCACACAATCTCTTGTAGTTATTATTATTAGCATTATTATTATTATATTTATGTGGGAGCATTAAGCCTGTAAATGTGATACAGTACCTGGGAAAATGGAGGGTATTCAGACTCTATTCAAGGAATTGGAGCACAGGTCAAATTCCTTGGTTCAAGAGCCCCTCACCAGCATCAAGGAATCTTCCTTGAGGAGATCCTTTGTAATTGTAATAGAGTATATGTAGGCAAGATGGCTAGGGATTTGCCCACATGTAAGGTGAAACAGTTTGTAAAGAAGGTCCTATCAATAAATTTGCCACATGAGTTTAGTGCTTAAGTGTTAAACCAGTGTGGCAGAACACATCTTTTCACATTGAGCATAATCAACAATGACTGAAATATCATCATCATAGAGAAATCAAATTACAGAATAGGTGGGGCTCACACCCATAGCAGGTGAGTCCTCGAACTCACAGGCCAATGTGCTAACCACTGGACCACTGATTTGATTTGTTTACAATTTTCTTATTATGATTTTGTAAATCATCATAATAGGGAATTGCTCTGCAAATTGTCTTTTTACTATGGTAATGTTTCTTACTGAACTAATAGGTAAAGTTAGGTAAGGTGTTTTTCCCCTCCAGAGAGAGAGAGAGAGAGGCTGGGTTGCTCTGTTGCCATCTTGCTGTTTTGAATAATCCAAAGACTCCCCTCTTCATCTAACATGTGTATATGAACACAGATATGCTTGCTGCACCAGTGACATCAACACTGTGTATTACTTGGTAACATTGCTCCATACCACATGGGTTGGTTCAAGATGAGCATAGTTATCAGAGAACATTGCAGGAAGAAAAAAAAAATCTTGAACTGGCTCTTATTCTTATCACAGAAACCGTCATCCAGAACCAGGGAAGTTTCCATTTGGTGGGACCCCTGACTCTTGTTCCTCAGCACACACCACCTGACAGTCTGGTTTGCACCTCACTCGTAACTTACTTGTACAACTACTGCATATACTGTATAACTATGTTCATTTGCAAAAGCTCAGTCTCCAATTGAAACCTTGTTTCAATAAAAGTTTTGATTCTGCCATAGTGTCTTTTTATCAGTTTTGCTTGAATTTTAAACCAGTTATGATGTTCCTACTATGGTTTAAACCAGTTTTAATGTTCCTACTATGCTTTAAACCAGTTATAATGTTCACACTGTGTTTAAGAATCTAATGTAGCCTATATTATTAACCCTTTCACTGTCCAGACCCCAGAAATTAAAAGCTGTTTACCTGGAAAGAGTTCCGGGGGTCAACGCCCCCGCGGCCCGGTCTGTGACCAGGCCTCCTGATGGATCAGAGCCTGATCAACCAGGCTGTTGCTGCTGGCTGCATGCAAACCAACGTACGAGCCACAGCCCGGCTGGTCAGGAACCGACTTTAGGTGCTTGTCCAGTGCCAGCTTGAAGACTGCCAGGGGTCTGTTGGTAATCCCCCTTATGTATGCTGGGAGGCAGTTGAACAGTCTCGGGCCCCTGACACTTATTGTATGGTCTCTTAACGTGCTAGTGACACCCCTGCTTTTCATTGGGGGGATGGTGCATCGTCTGCCAAGTCTTTTGCTTTCGTAGTGAGTGATTTTCGTGTGCAAGTTCGGTACTAGTCCCTCTAGGATTTTCCAGGTGTATATAACCATGTATCTCTCCCTCCTGCGTTCCAGGGAATACAGGTATAGGAATCTCAAGCGCTCCCAGTAATTGAGGTGTTTTATCTCCGTTATGCGCGCCGTGAAGGTTCTCTGTACATTTTCTAGGTCAGCAATTTCACCTGCCTTGAAAGGTGCTGTTAGTGTGCAGCAATATTCCAGCCTAGATAGAACAAGTGACCTGAAGAGTGTCATCATGGGCTTGGCCTCCCTAGTTTTGAAGGTTCTCATTATCCATCCTGTCATTTTTCTAGCAGATGCGATTGATACAATGTTATGGTCCTTGAAGGTGAGATCCTCCGACATGATCACTCCCAGGTCTTTGACGTTGGTGTTTCGCTCTATTTTGTGGCCAGAATTTGTTTTGTACTCTGATGAAGATTTAATTTCCTCGTGTTTACCATATCTGAGTAATTGAAATTTCTCATCGTTGAACTTCATTTTGGGTTTTCTGCAGCCCACTGAAAGATTTGGTTGATGTCCGCCTGGAGCCTTGCAGTGTCTGCAATGGAAGACACTGTCATGCAGATTCGGGTGTCATCTGCAAAGGAAGACACGGTGCTGTGGCTGACATCCTTGTCTATGTCGGATATGAGGATGAGGAACAAGATGGGAGCGAGTACTGTGCCTTGTGGAACAGAGCTTTTCACCGTAGCTGCCTCGGACTTTACTCTGTTGACGACTACTCTCTGTGTTCTGTTAGTGAAGAAATTATAGATCCATCGACCGACTTTTCCTGTTATTCCTTTAGCGCGCATTTTGTGCGCTATTACGCCATGGTCACACTTATCGAAGGCTTTTGCAAAGTCTGTATATATTACATCTGCATTCTTTTTGTCTTCTAGTGCATTTAGGACCTTGTCGTAGTGATCCAATAGTTGAGACAGACAGGAGCGACCTGTTCTAAACCCATGTTGCCCTGGGTTGTGTAACTGATGGGTTTCTAGATGGGTGGTGATCTTGCTTCTTAGGACCCTTTCAAAGATTTTTATGATATGGGATGTTAGTGCTATTGGTCTGTAGTTCTTTGCTGTTGCTTTACTGCCCCCTTTGTGGAGTGGGGCTATGTCTGTTGTTTTTAGTAACTGTGGGACGACCCCCGTGTCCATGCTCCCTCTCCATAGGATGGAAAAGGCTCGTGATAGGGGTTTCTTGCAGTTCTTGATGAACACGGAGTTCCATGAGTCTGGCCCTGGGGCAGAGTGCATGGGCATGGTATTTATCGCCTGTTCAAAGTCATTTGGCGTCAGGATAACATCGGATAGGCTTGTGTTAATCAAATTTTGTGGCTCTCTCATAAAAAATTAATTTTGATCTTCGACTCTCAGTCTGGTTAGCGGCTTGTTAAAAACTGAGTCATATTGGGACTTGAGTAGCTCACTCATTTCCTTGCTGTCATCTGTGTAGGATGTGTCCAAATTAAAAAAAAATTTGAAATGGTAAAGAATGTTTTCCTGTATATGTCTAGAATGCAGCTTGGGTGTTAAAAGAATGCTATAATCAGGGGATATGAATATAGTATTGTACAGCATTGGGATTAATTATCAGCATTGAAGATACATATTTTCTATACACAGTAATCAGATAATTATTAAAATGTTTTCATGGTTCTGATGTAGTTACTGGATGTTTAAAATTGGACTGCATGTGAAAATTCCTTGGAAATCTTAGAATTTTCTTTATTTAAACTTTTATATTTTTAGGGAGAAGAAATGGATAACTATACATGATACAACAATGAAGATTTTTAAGTGGGTTCCAATTGCCACAGATGTAAGTACAGTATATTCTTTTATGTAGACAGTTTTTTTTTTACTACAGTCCAGTACTGTTGAATACCAGAAATGTCATGCTGTAGTGTATAACATTTAAATGACCCCTCCTCAACCCCCTTCAAGTGCAGGACAGAATTTCTTGTTAGGTTGTCAACATTCTTACATATAGAGTAAAGAATAAGCATCCAAAAATCCCTTCTTTTATGTTTTAAACTTTGATTAGTGTGGCTTAACTTAGTTTACCTGTAGATAATTGTAGGAGTCTGCCCCTGTAGCCTGGTCACAGATCAGGCCTCCTGGTTGATGGCCTGATCAATCAGGTTGTTAGTATTGGCTGCACACCGTCTAATGTACACAGTCTAATGTAGGGGCTGCAGCCTGACTTTAGAAATTTAGCAAGTTCCCTCTTGAAGACAGCTAGGTGTGTTGGTAATTCTCTTCATGTATGAGGAGAGGGTGTTGAAGTCTTTATCTCTTTAGACTTCCACTGAAGTAATTTCCACCATCTACCAGTCCTCTTGCTTTCATGTGGGTCACTTTGGTATGCAGATATGGGATCAGTCCCTCCACGTGAAACCCCTTTCATGTGCCTTAAATATTCTGTGGAGAGAGATCATCCCACAGTCACTAAAAACAACAGATATAGCCCCACTCCACAAAGGTGGCACTAAAGCAGTTGCAAAGAATTACGAACGGATAGCACTGACATGCTACATCATAAAACTCTTTGAAAGGGTTCTAAGAAGCAAGATCGCGAACCACTTGGATATACAGGGTGTCCAGAAAAACGCACTCTGATTTCAAACAGGTATAACATGTTACTTTATTGTATTAATCTTTCACAGTTAGTAGCTTCAGATGCAGGATTTCATTCTGTTTCAAGTGGTATAGGGTAGCATTAACCCTTTCAGGGTCCCCAGGCCCTCTCCGAGACTTGTTCTCAGGGTCGCCAAATTTAAAAAAAAAAAATAATTTTTTCTTATGAAAAGATAGAGAATCTTTTCCCGATCATAATGACACCAAAAGTATGAAATTTGATGGAAAACTTACGGAATTATGCTCTCACAAAGTTAGCGGTCTCAACGATGTTTACGCATCAGCGATTTTGCCCAATTTGAGCCCTATTTTCGGCCAATTCCAGTATACTAGTCGACAAAAATCATAACTACATATTTCGCCAGAACTTCATTTTTTCTATCGAATGACGGCCCAACAGCTAGCTGTGTGCTGGCTGTGCCATTCTTGTAGGGTTGGGTGGTCCTGTTGTTTAAAGCGTCATGTGGTTCTCGCTTACCATGAGGCAGGCCAGTACAACATGGGTTCGAATCCTTGGCTAGCACAGTGTTGTTATTGATCAATACCACTTGTTCGTGGTTACAATAATACAGTGGACCCCCGCATAGCGACTTTAATCCGTGCAAGAGGGCTGATTGTTATGCGAAATGTTCGGTATGCGAATGAATTTTCCCCATAAGAAATAATGGAAATCAAATTAATCCGTGCAAGACACCCAAAAGTATGAAAAAAAAATTTTTACCACATGAAATATACATTTTCCTACACACAAAGAGAAGGATACATGCACAATAGTAGAGTAGTACATGCACAATATATATTGTGCATGTACTACTCTACTAAATGAAGAATAAATGACACTTACCTTTACTGAAGATTTCAGCAATGACTGATGAGACACGTGTCCTGGGAGTGCCTTTTCCTCCTGAGTACTGTAGGTCCTGTTTGGCATTTCTTCCAGAACAGGCCTTGTCACATGTGTATGCCCCTACGATTCTTAATCTCTCAAAACCACCTTTGCTGGCTTTAAATTCACCAATATGGCACTAGTTCCAGGCATTTTTCCCTGTTCACCTGGGTGTTAGTCGACTGGTGTGGGTTGCATCCTGGGAGGGCAAGATTAAGGACCCCAATGGAAATAAGTTAGACAGTCTTCGATGACATGACTTTTTTGGGTTATCCGGGTGGCAAAACCTCTGGGGTTAATTGTTTCTTGGTATTCTCAATAAGCCACACAACAACGGTTGCCTACAGCCAGCAGCAGCAGCTGACGGGGGGTACAACAGCAAAAAGACGATGCTCAGCAGCAGCAGACGATGCTACAGCAGCAACAGATGATGCTTTCAGCAGCAGCGACGATGCTACAGCAGCAAAAAGATGATGCTACAGCAGCAGCAGATTTATGTACAGCAGCAGCAGACGATGCTACAGCAGCAGCAGACGATGCTACAGCAGCAGCAGACAATGCTACAGCAGCAGTAGACGGTACTACAGCAGCAGCAGCAGCTGACGGTGGTACAACAGCAGCAGCAGCTGACAGTGCAGCAGCAGCTGACGGTGGTACAGCAGCATCAGCAGCTGTACCACCAATAGTAGCGATGGTTGATTGGGGTTTATTATACAACCTGGCCAGCTCGGAGACACGCACTCCACTTTCATACTTATCAATGATCTTTTTCTTCATCTCTATAGTAATTCTCACCCTTATTGCTGTAGGGTTGGCACTAGAAGCTTTCTTGGAGCCCATGGTCATTTATTTTCCAGAAAAAATCACCAAAAACACTAATAATACGAAATGTTCCGATTGTATGCTTGGATGTTACCGCGGAGGCTGGCTGGTAAACAATGCCACCGGCGGAACATGTGAGCGTGGCTCAGGCCGCACATTGGACGCGTCTCGGACGAAGAGCGGTGAGCGGGTTTTTGGGCGGTATGCGAGGCAAAATTTTTGCAAAAAAAGCGAGCGGTATGCGGATTGTACGATATGCGATGCGTGCGGTATGCGGGGGTCCACTGTACATAAATACTGCTCGTGACGCTAGTACACCAAACAGGGATGAGAATGAAATTAGCTTAGAAGCTCCCACACCTCCGTATGCCGTCGGATGGCGGCCCAACAGCTAGCTGTGTGCTGGCTGTGCCATTCTTGTAGGGTTGGGTGGTCCTGTGGTTTAAATCGTCATGTGGTTCTCGCTTACCATGAGGCAGGCCAGTACAACATGGGTTCAAATCCTTGGCTAGCGCAGTGTTGTTATTGATCAATACCACTCGTTCGTCGTTACAATAATATATAAATACTGCTCGTGAGGCTAGTACACCAAACAGGGATGAGAATGAAATTAGCTTAGAAGCTCCCACACCTCCGTATGCTCTTGGATGGCGGCCCAACAGCTAGCTGTGTGCTGGCTGCGCCATTCTTGTAGGGTTGGGTGGTCCTGTGGTTTAAAGCGTCATGTGGTTCTCGTTTACCATGAGGCAGGCCAGTACAACATGGGTTCGAATCCTTGGCTAGTGCAGTGTTGTTATTGATCAATACCACTTGTTCGTGGTTACAATAATATATAAATACTGCTCGTGAGGCTAGTACACCAAACAAGGATGAGAATGAAATTAGCTTAGAAGCTCCCACACTTCTGTATGCCCTCGGATGGCGGCCCAACAGCTAGCTGTATGCTGGCTGCGCCATTCTTGTAGGGTTGGGTGGTCCTGTGGTTTAAAGCGTCATGTGGTTCTCACTTACCATGAGGCAGGCCAGTACAACATGGGTTCGAATCCTTGGCTAGTGCAGTGTTGTTATTGATCAATACCACTTGTTCATGGTTACAATAATATATAAATACTGCTCGTGAGGCTAGTACACCAAACAAGGATGAGAATGAAATTAGCTTAGAAGCTCCCACACTTCTGTATGCCCTCGGATGGCGGCCCAACAGCTAGCTGTATGCTGGCTGCGCCATTCTTGTAGGGTTGGGTGGTCCTGTGGTTTAAAGCGTCATGTGGTTCTCACTTACCATGAGGCAGGCCAGTACAACAGGCGTTCGAATCCTTGGCTAGCACAGTGTTGTTATTGATCAATACCACTCGTTCGTGATTACAGTTACACCTACCATTTGACTTACGACCTGCTCGACATACGACCACTCGACTTACAACCGTGTTTTTCATGCCAAATTTCAGGGAAATAAACAACTGTTTGTGTTGTACACAGTGTTTATCTTAAACCTTACAGTATAAAATACAGTACAAACAGCATAAAAAGTAAAGTAAAAAATGAAATACCAAAATAAAACAACAAAATAAAGCCATTACAAAACTGTGATGTTGATATTCAGTAGTAAAGTTCGACTTACGTCCATTTTGACTTACGACCGGTTGGTCAGAACCAAGCTTGGTCGTAAGTCGGATGGTAGGTGTATATATAAATACTGCTCGTGAGGCTAGTACACCAAACAGGGCTGAGAATGAAATTAGCTTAGAAGCTCCTACACCTCCGTATGCCCTCGGATGGCAGCCCAACAGCTAGCTCTGCTGGCTGCGCCATTCTTGTAGGGTTGGGTGGTCCTGTGGTTTAAAGCGTCATGTGGTTCTCACTTACCATGAGGCAGGCCAGTACAACATGGGTTCGAATCCTTGGCTAGCACAGTGTTGTTATTGATTTGACTGTATATTTAACCCAGATGGGTGGATTTGCATCAACCCAGGGCAGATTGGGTTTAGAGCAAGTCACTCCTGCATTTCACACTATTGGACCACTATGACATGGTTTTGGATACATTGAAGGACAAAGAAATGCAGACTTTGCAACAGCCTTCGACAAGTGTGATCATGGTGTAATAGCGCACAAAATGCATGATAGAGGAATAACAAGAAAAGTGGGTAGATGGATCTATAACTTCCTAACAAATAGAACACAAAGAGTAATGGTAAACAGAGTAAAGTCAGAGGAGGCTAGAGAGAAAAGCTCTGTTCCATAAGGTACAGTACTCGCTCCCATCCTTTTCCTCGTCCTCATATCTGACATGGAGAAAGATGTAAGCCACAGCATCATGTCCTCCTTTGCTGTTGATACCAGAATTTGCATGACAGTGTCATCCACTGAAGACACTGCAAATCTCCAAGTGGACATTAACCAGGTCTTTAAATGGGTCTTGGAAAACAATATGAAGTTCAGTGAAGACAAATTTCAACTACTCCCCTATGGAAAACTTGAGGAAATATAAACAGGATTGGAGTATAAAACAAATTCCAACCACATAAATAGAGCAAAACACTAAAGTGAAGGACCTTGGAGTGATAATGTCAGAGAATTTCACTTTCAAAGATCACAACAGTGTCTCTGCCACATCTGTTAGGAAAATGATAGGATGGATAATGAGAACCAGTGTTTGTGAAAAATATTCCTTCCATAACTTTGAGGATTTACTGTTTTTTTTTTTTCAATTGCTAGTGAGAGCATTAGTGAGATAGCTTGCTTTACCGTACTCACAGTACCCCTGAATGTGTCGATGTCTTGGGTGTTTATTGTATCAAAAGTTGGCAGAACACTGACAGTGGATACCACACAATACAAGCAGATATTCCTCACCAGTTTGCTTCTTTCTTCTGGCGATTACCTTTCTGAAGCTACAGGAAGAGAACTATGCGTGTAATGTCCCATCTTCAGTATAGTATATTGTTTCCGTCATATAAAAAAATTTCTAGCAGTGTAATGACTCTCAAGTACAACACAGCACAGGGTGATTACTTTTGAAGTTTAAGGATGTTATTAAGACAGCTGTGAAAATGGGCAGTAAGGAGAGAAAAGAGTTTAATATGGTGGCCTGGCCAGTATGGCAAGAATTTGTTCTCATGATGGTGGATGAGGGATCATACTTAAGCTTATTTCAAAACCTAACTTTATCTAAGGTATATTATCACCCCTAGGATGTGATCCAGCTAACACCCAGGTACCAGTTTACTGCTAGGTGAACAACAGGTGTAATGAGACTTGCTCATACGTACATCTTAACCTGCTTTAAGAATAGGTTTATAGGGTTCTGCAGGATTACGGATGAAAGTTACTGCAGGTATAGAATTTTTCAATCCAGAAGCAGTTATCTTAGTTCAGCCTATTTTAAAGTCTCATTCTTCTATTGTTTATTATAGTTTTAATACTGCTTAATTCTTATTGTGTAAGGAGCGAAAGAAGAAGAGTGGGAACAGTGCAAATAAAGAAAACCGTATGTGCAGCCGAGACAGCAGCATGTCAGCATTTCAGATGGGTGGAGATGACTCTAATACAGGTACAGTAACCAAACATTCATTAATCTAATGCTACTACTTTTGCTCTTATACATACCTAAGGCAAAACGTGCAAGTGTTTCTAGTGAAAGTGAGATTTTTAACAGCACATAAATGCTGAGTATGTACTCACCTGTATGTGGTTGCAGGGATCAAATCCTAGCTCCTGACCCTCCCTTTCACTTTTCTGCTTGCCAGATTCATGCCTAGCCTTGCTGGCCCTTTTGTACTTGTATGTATCAGGTGTGCCTCTGATGCTTGTTGAGGTCATTCCACATGTATTTTCTTCTCTCTATATTGATGCAATACATATTTTTTTCATGCACTCTTGCTAGTGAAAAATTTGTAAAGTACAGCCTCTCCTCACTTAACAACAATTCCGTTCCTAAGACCACGTTGGTAAACGAATTCCTCGCTAAGCAAGGAGCATGCTATCCAGCCTCTCCTCACTTAGTGACATACTCATTTACCGAAGAATTAGACTTACAATGGGCTCACTGACCAGTATGTATACCTAAATAATGTACATATTTTTTAGAGCTGATTTCCTCTATTCTGTTTATTACAATATACAGTACTCTGCTGTATAAACAGTTAAAAATATACCAGAAATGTTACAAATGGTGCAAAGGTGGCATTAAAACAATATTAGAGATGGTCGACACAAACCCACCACCATTATAATATGCTCCTTGCTTAGCGACGAATTCGTTTACTGACGTGGTCTTAGGAACGAAACTCCATCATTAAGTGAGGAGAGGCTGTAATGGTAGTGGGTTTGTGTCAGCCATCTTTGATATTGTTTTAATGTCACCTTTGCACCATTTATAACATCTTTAGTATATTTTTAAATGTTTATACAATAATGTATTGTATAATGTAAAAACACAGAATAGTGAAAATCGGCTCTAATGTACATTATTTAGGTATGCATACTGGTCAGGGAGCCCATCGTAAGTCCAAGTCATTGGTAAACGAGGACATCGCCAAGTGAGGAGAGGCTGTACTGTATGTGCCATTCCACTTTTGGGTGGAGATAATGGAATAATTGCTAAATGTTCTTTTAATTTTGTTATTTCTTCTCAGCCATGTCGATGATGAGTGATTCCCAGGATGCTACAGATTTCTCATCTACACAGTTCAACATCTCAGAAGACTCAAATTCTGAGCCACCATTTAAGAAAAAGTTGATGGAAGGTCGAGGGGATTCCATATAGTTGTCATAGAAAGAGGATGATAAAAATAAATACATATTGTACTTTAGGATTATATTATTTATAAGTTTTGTATCAGGAGGCATAGAAATATACCTTCAGGAACATGAAGTATATTAGACAAGGTTGTTAGATGACAGAATTATTTAGCTATGTTATATAAATTCTCACATGGAAAGTAAGCAAGTAGTGATTAAGACTTTATTTTTTACTACACTAGCCATTTCCCACTGAGATAAGGTGACCAAAAAGAGGAAAATTCATCATCATTCTTTCAGTAGCTTTTGCCTGAAGAATGCAGATGTCATGTTTTGGATAGCCGTCTGAACTGCAACATTCCCCCCCCCCCCCAGAGTGCAGGCACCTACTTCCCACCTTACCTTGTTGTCCCATAAGTTTATCTGTTACACTGAAATGGGTTGTACATACAGTAAAACCTTTTAATAACTGATTTTCGTCATTTCTAGCAAAAGAACTGGCAGGACAAATGTTGGAAGCTTCGGACAAAATGGAAAAAAAATTATAATTCTGGATTTTGTATGTTAGTATGTTTTTATTAATGATGCCTTATAAATATTGTTTTTCTCTTGGTTAATGTTTTACCAAATGCATTCATACTTTGCATATGTTACCAGTATACATGTATAAAGAGCTTACATTTATTTGATAAAGATTGGTGAATAACTATAGATTTATTTCCAATGTGTTGTGAGTGGTTATCAGGTAGGGAGAGGAAAGGAGGTTGGCTGGCTGGCCACTGAGGGAGGTCCCAGTCATGGCAGAGGGGCACATGCATGCATGCTGCAAGCTCACTGCATGCACACACCCACGCATGCACCTGCACACACCCACGCATGCACCTGCACACACCCATGCATGCACCTGCACACACCCACGCATGCACCTGCACACACCCACGCATGCACCTGCACACACCCACGCATGCACCTGCACACACCCACGCATGCACCTGCACACACCCACGCATGCACCTGCACACACCCACGCATGCACCTGCACACACCCACGCATGCACCTGCACACACCCACGCATGCACCTGCACACACCCACGCATGCACCTGCACACACCCACGCATGCACCTGCACACACCCATGCATGCACCTGCACACACCCACACATGCACCTGCACACACCCACACATGCACCTGCACACACCCACACATGCACCTGCACACACACCCACGCATGCACCTGCACACCCACCCACTCATGCACCTGCACACACACCCACGCATGCACCTGCACACACACCCACGCATGCACCTGCACCCACACCCACGCATGCACCTGCACACACCCACGCATGCACCTGCACACACCCACACATGCACCTGCACACAAACATGCAAGCACCTGCACACACACCCATGCATGCACCTGCACACACCTACGCATGCACCTGCACACACCCATGCATGCACCTGCACACACACCCATGCATGCACCTGCACACACACCCACGCATGCACCTGCACACCCACCCACGCATGCACCTGCACACCCACCCACGCATGCACCTGCACCCACACCCACGCATGCACCTGCACACCCACCCACGCATGCACCTGCACACACACCCACGCATGCACCTGCACACACCCACGCATGCACCTGCACACACCCATGCATGCATCTGCACACACCCACGCATGCACCTGCACACACCCACGCATGCACCTGCACACACCCATGCATGCATCTGCACACACCCACGCATGCACCTGCACACACCCATGCATGCACCTGCACACACCCACGCATGCACCTGCACACACCCACGCATGCACTTGCACACACACCCACGCATGCACCTGCACACCCACCCACGCATGCACCTGCACACCCACCCATGCATGCACCTGCACCCACACCCACGCATGCACCTGCACACACCCACGCATGCACCTGCACACACACCCACGCATGCACCTGCACACACACCCACGCATGCACCTGCACACACCCACGCATTCACCTGCACACACCCACGCATGCACCTGCACACACCCACGCATGCACCTGCACACACCCACGCATGCACCTGCACACACCCACGCATGCACCTGCACACACCCACGCATGCACCTGCACACACCCACACATGCACCTGCACACACCCACGCATGCACCTGCACACACCCACGCATGCACCTGCACACACACACACCTGCACACACACACACATATGCACCTGCACACACACACCTGCACACACACACACACACCTACAACACCTGCACACACACACACCTACACACACACCTGCACACACACACCTACACACACCTGCACACACACACCTACACACACCTGCACACACACACCTGCACACACACACCTACACACACACCTGCACACACACAACTACACACACACCTGCACACACACACACCTACACACACACCTGCACACACACACCTGCACACACACACCTACACACACACCCACACACACACCTACACACACACCTGCACACACACACCTGCATGCACACACCTGCACACACACCTGCACACACACACCTACACACACACCTGCACACACACACCTGCACACACACACCTACACACACACCTGCACACACACACACCTGCATGCACACACACACACACACACACCTTACATCAGTTGCACAATTAAATGAGATCAACACCTATCACCTAGTTAAATAAGTTTATAATCATACACCTAACTTACATTTGTACTGCTGAATATACTGCATTTTAAAGTTTAAATGAAATGTGCAATCACGTTGCCTCGTGAGAATTTATTAATTTTTTTAGTACAATAATCATACCCTTTCTACTGAGGAAAATGGAATATTTCACAAAAAAGAAGTGGGTTAAAGTCCAGGATTACTAAATTGTGAGAAAAAGTTTTTGATGATGAAAAACTTGTCATCTCATTGTTGTTCCTGTTTTTAGAAATGGAAACAACACTGCTTTATACTCATTGTGGTTTATAGTGGTCTTGTTAATGTATGTTCATTAGTGCCAACTCTGCATCTGTTAAGTTCACCACCATTTCAGAAGTATTGCTAGACTCTTGATGTACAGTTGTCTATTCAGAGATTCATTTTGTACTTATAAATAAATAAAAAATAAATAAATTTTTATAGTGAAGACATGTAAAAATGGGAAAACAATAAATAAACAGAAGAATAGCTAGGGACTCAAACTGTGGTTTATGCATATAGCAGACCTTATACTATTACTACTCTGTCATGGAACTTACCATAAGATATGCTGTATGACCCCTTCATGTTAATTTGATATTATTACCATAGGATGATATTACAAATAGCACTTCTGTGAAATTTTTGTATCAGTGACCCTACTATCCAGTCCCACACCTCCAGAAGCTTTAATGGTACATCTGTTCTCATACGGACTTTGCCTTTAAAGTCATATAGTCCATAAACACAAGTAAGTCATTTTCATTACAACTTATTTTAGATTTATGGGATAGCAGGAGTTACCAGGCATGTAAACTTGGCATTATAATGGTAATATTGTAGTTACATTCATTTCTTTATAAGTAGACCTGGTTTGAACTGCTACTTACTTTGATCAATAATATAATATTTGTATTAATATTGGTAGAATTACCAAAAATATGCTAAATAAAAGACACTTGTGCCACAATAAAATGTTACATTAGTTGTACTTGTGTCCTTGTACTTGATAATATTTGTCTTTAGTTTTATACACGTATAGAATCATGTGACTTGACTTTTTTAGTTAGTGTAAAAAATATCAGCATTAAGCATGTCATTGAACAGAAGATGAATGCTCAGTCAGCAAACACCATAAAGAGATGACCATTGCTAAATATATTCCAATAAACTAGATATAGTGAGTCACACAGCTACATAAATATTCATTAATGTTTAAAATATTAAGTCTTGTTATAAATGGCCTAAATTTGCATTGAGTGTTGCCTATGATAACTTTTTAACATCTGGGCAATGTTTAGGTTGATCCTTTAATTGTACAATTGATTTTACTATGAAGACTTGCTAACTTTTGTGTTCTTATATACATGTATATGCAATCTCTATTAAGTTATAATTTTAAAAAGATGGTATTTCATCTGTGAAGTGGATTGAATCTTGTAGTATTGTAGTTAAGGATTTCAAACACAATTACTTATGAGTGATATGTATTTGCTTTTGAATGAATCTACTGAGAATAATTGTATTTGCATACTTGCCATAATAGCTTCATTTTGAATATGTATTCATTTTATTTATTAATATTCATTCAGATTTTTTAATTTTTGTTGTGGATGAAGTGTTAGTTTGGACCCCTCAGGAGAGGCACCTTGATGGTAGTGAGTGGGCTCTTGATCCAAGGAATTGGATCTATCCTTCCTTGAATCAAACTTGATTGTCTCTCAGGTGCTGTATGACTTCCTTAACCCTTTGAGGGTTTTGGTCGTACTAGTACGTCTTACGCGTAGGGGTTTTTGACGTACTAGTACGCATAAATTCTAGCGGCCTCAAATCTAGTGGGAGAAAGCTGGTAGGCCTTCATATGAAAGAATGGGTCTATGTGGTCAGTGTGCACAGTCTAAAAAAAATCCTGCAGCATACAATGCATAATGAGAAAAAAAAAACTTTGACCATTTTTTTGGAATAAATCAGCGACTTTGCAGTGTATTTTCGTATGGTATTTATTGTTGTATTCTAGTTTTCTTGGTCTCATTTTATAGAATGGAAGACATATTACAGAAATTGAGATGATTTTGACTGGTTTTACAATGAAAGGTGCCTTGAAATTGAGCTCAAAGTAGCAGAAATGTTCGATTTTTACCAAACTTCAAAAGTAAACAAATCGTGCCAAGCGTGCAATACACGTCAACTGGTGAGTCTAATATTCTTTCACAAGTGCACCAATAATATTTATACCATTTTTTACACTAATGCAGTAGTCTGCATAACAGTAAATCTTATATTTTTTGTGAGAATAAAAATTCAAAGTGGAAAGCAAAAGAATATAAGAGGGGCCTTGAGACGTGACTAATGACTAGAGGAAATGTCATTTTAGTGCCAGGAATGTCTTTCTTGTTTATTCTGGACCCTGTTCGGAAATTGGCATCTTTTGAAATTTGTGTGAAATTGGCAAAATTGCTAAATTCTGACCACTGTACTGGATAGTTGAATTTCATAAATGGGTGGTTTCTTGCACCCATTCGATAGAAAAAATGGAGTTCTAGCGAAATATTCATGTTTTTTGTCGACTAGTACAGTGAAATTGGCCGAAAATGGGGCTCAAAGTGGGCAAAATCGCCGATGCGTAAACATCGCCGAGACCGCTAACTTTGCGAGAGCATAATTCCGTAAGTTTTCTATCAAATTTCAAACTTTTGGTGTCTTTATGATCGGGAAAAGATTCTCTATCTTTTCATAAGAAAAAATTATTTTTTTTTTTAAATTTGGCGACCCTGAGAACAAGTCTCGGAGAGGGCCTGTCGACCCTCAAAGGGTTAAGTTTAGTGCTCTCTTCGTCCCCCATCCATGAATGAAATAATAGTGTGTGTGGAAGGCTTGATTAAACACAGATACACAGTAACTTGTATTGTGGGAGTTCACACCAGGCATATATTTATAATACCAAATGTAGTTATTGCACAGAGTTTATATCAAGAAATTGTCCTCTTTAAGCATTAGCAGCAGTCGTGCAACCTTCAAGGAGGCCCATGTAGTTTGAGGGACTTTTAATAAGTGGAATGGAGTGTCTATGTCTTACATTACCCCTCATGACAAGATAAAAGTAAAGTAAATCTTTTTACAATGCTGGAAATATATTCCTGAAAGTCACACAGTCCAATAATTTGTATTGTAAAAAATACGAATTATTTCTTATATATTGTTACACATTAAAAGAAGCTAGAAGTATTTTTTGTAGTGTATATTGTACTTAACTCTTAAACTGTCTAATGATCCAAAATTAACCACTAAGGTGTCTGTGACATACTGGTATACATCGAAGCGATCAGAGTTGGTGATGGTGATGTACTGTTTCACATAATTCACAGTGCCTACATATTTGATGTGAGCAGCAAATTTAGGTGTAAACTTGAGAGAAGAGGTCCACACACGGGGCATGAGCAGTACAGAAATTCCTGCTCCACGTAGAGTATGGTGGGGATGGTTAACCACAGCATAAATCCATCTCGTGCATCACAATTAACCACATATTCTTAGCACCTATGGATACTAACAGTATGAACAGTGATCCTGATGTGGATTTCCTTAGGTTTAAGACAACTCTGAGTGATGGGAATGGTCATAATACTGCCTCAAACCCACACAACCCACAGCTCACAACTTCTGCACCACACCACCGCCACAGCAACGAAGAGATTCCATCTCTAACACATCCTCATAATCACTGTCACTATTTAGCACTGATTCCTCCTACAGGAAAGAAGAAAGAGGCTCAGCGATGCATGTGATTACACATGGATAAGAAGACCTCCACAATGAAGACATACAAGATATAACTACAGTAAGTGAGATACCTCTGTACCTTATCTCTTGTTTTGAGGAGTTCCACATACGTATATGTTAGAAATGTGAAAAACTAATGAAGAAAAATGTTATCAGCACAGTGTATGTTTAGAAAGTAAATTGTTTTGTGGAATTTTGTGTGACAAAATTTGAGTGCTAAAACAAATAATAACACAGTCAGTGTCCATAGAAAACCAAGTTCAAGAGTTGAAAAGAAAACAAAATACATTAGAGGAAAAAAGTTTGAAAAATGAAGTGTAAACATTGTGGCTTGCAGCAGCAGCACTCAGTGTTGCCATAACATGCTTTATGGTCAACTTTGTTCATCTGTATCTAGGTAAATAATGGACAGCCTTTTTTTTTTTAATTTTGGCATCATTTCCTTAAAAAAATATTCTCTTATCAGAATATTTTTTTCCAGAATGCTGACACCAAATTGGCTTTCAGTTTTGGAGGTGCTGACAATTTTAAAAAATCCTAAATTGCAGAGTATTTTTTTGTATAGCAAAGTTGAAGTTCATGGGGCACTTGACAGCAACAGATTGTGTTGCTGCGTGGGCCCAGTGTTTCTTTATTCCTTTTTTTCTAATTTTTCCCCTTGTATTTTGTTATCATTTATAAACATTAGAACATGCTTTTCTATACACACTTGTGTTATTTGATAGTACTCAAATTTTGTTGCACAAAATTCCACAAAACCATTTAGTTTATAAACACACACTAAACTGACACCATTTCTAGCTGCTTCAGTTTATTGCTGTTTCTAACATACATGTACATTATGCATAATCACTGTAGAGGTTTTTGCATTGTGAGGGTCTCTTCCTCTGATTCTTATTTCTTCTTTTCAGTAGCAGGAATTAGTGCTAAATAGTGATTGTGATTACTAGGCTGATCACGAGATGGAATTTGTTCATCACTGCAGTGATGGCATGGTGCTGCAGTTTTGGGTTGGCTGGGTTTAAGCCATTATTATGGCCATTCGTTTCACCCACATTCCTCTCGATCTCCTAAAACTCGCCATCAGACTCACTATTATGTTGGCACCCGTTGGTGTTAACAATAAGTGTTTAATTGTGGTGTGAGTGAGGGATTCATGTCTGGAAACCATGATTAACAAAGGCTGAGAGGGTAGCTATTCCTATGATCTGCATAGGGTAGGAATTTTTGTATACAGCACACACCCAGTGCACAGACCTATTCTCATGTTTAGGCCTAAATTTGCTGCTAATGGCAAATTTGAGGGCTCTAGGAGTTGTGTGTACTAGTATCACAAAAACTGGTCTCTTGGACATACTCGTACATAACAGACTGCTTAGTAGTTAACCCTTTGAGGGTCCATGCCATAGATCTATGACTATACATTGAGGGTCCAAACCGTAGATCGACGCCATGAGCTCAGCTCACTCTAAGCTGTGAGCGGTAAATTTGGGCCTAGATATGAGAATACGTCTATGTGGTATGTGTGCAACACATAAAACAAATCCTGCAGCACACAGTGCATAATGGGAAAAAAAACTGAGACCGTAATTATCGATTAAAACAGTGACTGCAGTGTTTTTTTGTATGTTTTTTATAGTTGTATTTGCGATTTCTTGGTCTCATTTGATAGAATGGAAGATATATTACAGAAATAGAGATGATTTTGATTGGTTTTAGTAATGGAAATGGGTTGAAACTGAGCTCTAAGGTAGCAGAAATGTTAAATTTTTGCCGATGTTCAAGAGTAAACAAATGATCCCACACGTCTAATACACGCCAGCTAGTGGATCTAATATACATTCACAAATGTGGTGATATTATTTATATAATTATTACAGTATTGCATAACAGAAAATCTTCTATTTTTTGGTTTGAATAAAAATTCATTATGTGAATAAAAAATCAAAATGGAATTCATTTGTAAAGCCTGAAAATGTAACTAATGAACAGAGGAAATGTTAGTTTAGTGCCAGGAATGCCTGCATTGTTTATTCTGGACCCTATTTTGAAATTAGAACATTTTGAACTTTGCATTAAATTGGCCAAATTACCAATTTCCGATCACTTTATTTTATAGTTGAAACAGTTGACTTGGTGATTTCTTGTGCTCAATCGATAGAATAGAAGTAATACTAGTGAAATAGCTAAGAATTTGGTCGACTGGA